TACTGATCATCTGGTTCAGTTTGGGTGGAGTCTTAGTAAGAATATCCCCTCCTGGGCATAGAGACTCAATCACCCTCTGGCTTTCTGGAGAGAGAGCACTGTAGAAGTTCCCCACTGTGAATGCATCACTGAAGCCATGATGGGGACACTGTCAGAAAAATCCCATGTACCGCTCCCATGCATCACGAAGTGACTCGTTTGGCTCTTGGCGGAAGTGAGTGATCTCCCGCTGGATCTCTGTGGTCTTTGATGCCGGATAGTACCTGTGTACGAACTTGTCGGCCAGATCGTCCCAAGAAGTGATGGAAAATGGGGGCTGGGTCTCCAGCCACATCTTAGCATGCCCCGCCAGAGAATGGGGGAAGAGGTGAAGGAGGATTGCATCATCAGGGACACCGTTCAGCTTGAACCCGTTCGTCAGCTGCAGGAAACGGGACAGGTTCACCCTTGCCTCCTCATCCTTCAAGCCATGAAACTGGACAGATGATGTAATGAGTTGAATCCAACATGGCTTGATCTCGAAGTTGTTCGCTGGAATGGGCGGGTAGAGGATGACAGGGCGGATATCAGCAACCCGTGGAGTGTAGTAGTACTCCAAGGTGGGACCTGGCGGCGGTGGATGATGATGAACCCCATCTGACTGGGGTATGGGGTTGTTCCCTAAGTTGGTGACAGGTGCGATCAAGCTCCGGATCCAACGGCAGTAAACCTCCCGACTGGCTACGGGTCATGCACTACCTGCACACAGTCCAGCAAGCAAACCCGTGAAGGCACAAGTGTGACAAAGCAAGCAATGCTAAAACGAAAAGCTAAATTAACAGAATTCACGTTTCTTCAACAACCTAGCCTTCCCTGGCAACGGTGCCAAAAACTTGACTCGCTCCAACCGTCACTCTAGAAAATGGCCAAGTGTAACCACTTCCTAAAGCGTAGTATAGCGGGTTTGGGTTTTAATGTCAACCTGGGTCCTAGATGTGATGACTACTTAGTGAATTCTTATTATTTAGCGGTGAAACTTTAGTGCAGGTTCAAACAAGCAAACAAGCAAAGCAAGCAAGAAGGTTGTTTTCAAGTCGAGAGAGGTCACCCGGATATGGTTCCCCCTAGACTGCAGTTAAGCCGGATTGTAATTTACCAAGTTCAGGTTCAATGATAGTTATACTGCGGGAGGCTCTTAAACAGTCTGAAGTCTCGACTAAAGGTCTCTAGACCCTCTCAATCTGAGTCTCCAGCGGGCGACTAACCTCCACCAGAGTAAACAGATTGAGGCCCTAACGAACCAAACCTCCACTACCGAAGCAAATTCGGTATAGAATAGTGAATTGACTCCTCGTCTAAAGTCGCCAATTCACTACCTTCAATCAAGGGTGCTCTATCAACCTAGGCAGATATTCTCTTTCTAGGTTAAAGCAGAAACAACAGGAATTTGATCATGATTCATGCCATTCAACAAATTAAACCTCAATTGAAGATAATCAAATCATAGAATCTGTACTTGGGTTCATACAATCAGACCTAACATACAAATCTATGGTTCTTCATACCCAGGTGAATAAGAAAACTACTTCATAGAGAGAGATGGAAATTCTAGCTCAGATGCGGAAACCATACTATGAAGGATGATAATATGATTCTGGCACTCAATCAGGTCATCTCCAAGCTCAAGCCGAGCTCCAATGGTGATGGAGATCGATCTATGACACTTGCACAGTCAGGTTCGTCACTTTCTCTCTCTAGGTATGGCTTTTTCTCTCTAAAACTCGGAACCCCTTCTCCTTTGCTGAAAATTGGGTTAAAACCCAGAAAATCCCGACTCACACGGCCAGGCCACATGGCCGTGTGACATCCCCAGCTGCCCGTGTGAGATGTGCAAACCGCGGCGTTTTGATAAGTGACTCAGGCTTCCTACACGACCATGACCCACACGACTGTGTGGAATTCCAAGATGGCCGTGTGAGTTCCCTGGAATTTCCACACGGCCACAGGGGGTCCCCTACACGGCCCGTGTGACTTTGCCCCTGCAATTTGGTGCCACACGGCCGTGTAGGTTTTAGGCGTGCCCGTGTGGCTCCATCAGCTTCACGCCACATGTCCAATCTTCGTCCAATCGATCCCGAACTCGTCCCCAAACCTTCATTCACGTACTAGGACACTGAAATATCACAAATAAGAACAACCTAGCGTGAAATCGGCCTAAAACACGAGAATCGACATCTTAAATGACTCAAGAATAGGGGTAAAAACATGTGCAATTAACGGTCTATCAATGCTCCTTAACCATTGGTTGTGGCTTGGGAGCAGGTGCTTCCTTCTCTATCCCCACCTCTTCATCTTCAGCTAGAAGTGCTGGAGCAGGTGTTGGTTCCTCTTGCTTGTCTGGAACATGTACAGCAGACGTCGTCTTACTACTTCTAGTATTAATGGCATTTAACTGGTGGTGAGGCTCGCGAGAGTTCAGGGTGGTGTTGCAGGTAGAGTTCTCGGTGCCCTAGTGCTGTTATTTCGAGATATTCCTCCAATTTGGTTCTGGAGTTCCTGTAGAATAGTACTCTTGTTTCTCTGGCCTGCCTCCAGTGCATTGAATTTCCCCATAGATAATTCCAAGAACTGGTCCATCCTGGCGAACTTCTCTGTACTGGTGCTCACGAAATTTGTCACCATATTTTTTAACTCTGACATCTGGTCACCCTGTGCTGGGGCTGCTGCCGGCTGGGAGAATTGCCTCTGCTGCTAGAAAGGTTACCCCTGTCTGGGCTGAAACGGCTCCTGCTAAGGAAATGAACCTGTCGGTTATAAGACTGCTGCCTCTGCTGAAAACCACCAGCTAGTATTGTGAAACCGGGAGGCTTGGTGGTGGTGTTGTTGTTGCCACTCTATGAGAAATTGGGATGTTGACGCCACCCCTCATTATAGGTGCCACTGTAGGGGTCAAGGCGTCGAGCATTGGCGATGAAGTCCAACTGCTCCTGGGTGTGGAGGACTCCAGCATAGCCTAACAATCCTCCACCAAGTGGTTCGAACTCTGACACTACTGGCATTGTGCTATAGGAGATGTGGCCATGCCTCAGCCTGGTATGAGGCTGTTAGGCTGCTTCAATGTCTGGACCAGCTCTGCCACCTCGCGCTCAAGCTCTGATCTGGCCTCCATGGCATGCACACCTCTGTCTCGAGAACTCCTACCTCTGGTGATCTGCCCCCAAGAATGATCTCTGGCAGCCAAAGTATTGATCATCTGATTCAGCTCAGGTGGATTCTTAGTGAGAATGTCTCCACCCGGACATAAAGACACAATCGGTCTCTGACTCTCCGGAGACAGAGCACTATAGAAGTTCCCCATAGTGAATGCATCACTAAAGCCGTGATGGGGACACTTCCAGAACAGACCGGAGTACTGCTCCCAAGCATCTCGCAGCGACTCATCATCTTCTTGGCAAAAATGAGTGATCTCCCGTTGAACCTCTGAGGTCTTAGAGGTCGGATAGTACCTGTGTACGAACTTGTCGGTTAGATTGTCCCAAGAAGTGATGGACAATGGTGGCTTAGTCTCCAGCCACCTCGTCGTAGTACCCGCCAAGGAGTGGGGGAAGAGATGAAGACGGATAGCGTCATCTGGGACACCGTTCAGCTTGAACCCATTGGTCAGCTGCAGGAATCGAGAAAGATGAACCCTCGCATCTTCATCCTTGAGCCCATGGAACTAGATGGAGGATGCAATCAACTGGATCCAGCATGGCTTAATCTCGAAATTGTTGGCAGGGATGGGAGGGTACTGGATGAAGGGGCGGATGTCAGCGATCTGTTAAGTGTAGAAATACTCCATAGTGGGCCCCTGGAGAGGAAACTGCGGGTTGGCAGCGTCTGCCTGTGGAACACCGCCATTAGGTGGGACTTGATTCATCGGAGGAACCTGGATTGGCATCCCCAGGGGTTGCCCCGAATTCATGTTGTTCATCCAGTTGTTCTCGTCTCCCATGTCGTCCTCCTGCTCGGAGTCACTGCTAATCCGACTGTCAATCTGCACTTTTGTCGTAGCCAGTCTCGTTCGCTGCGCTCGCCTAAGCTAGCGACAAGTGCGTTCTAGCATCTGTTTCAACGGTAGTAATGCTTCCGACTAGCTACGGGTCATGCACTACCTGCACACAACTAAGCAAGCAAACCCGTGAAGGCACACAGGGGAAAGAAGAAAAATGCAGAAAAGTAAATACTAAAGTAATAGATGTTCACGTTTCTCGAATAATCTAGAGGCGTCTCCGGCAACGGCGCCAAAACTTGACACACTATGACACAACACCACACTTCAACCAAGTATAATCGCAGAGTGGAAATGCATAATAGTGGTTAAGTCTAATTATCGACCCGAGCTCTAGATCTACTACCTACTTAGTGAAATCCTATTATCTATCAGGACAAAGCGAGTGAAATGATTTTAGTTCAAAAGAAACAAAAGCAAGTAATGGTCTGGTTCTTTTTAGGTTCAAAAGGTCATCCATGTATGGTTCCTCCTAGTGTGCAGCTAGTTCAGGTTATACGGTCCCAAATTACTCTTGTTGATAGATAAACCGCGGGAAGTTCTTTACTGGTCTGGACTCTCGACTAAAGTTGTCCAGACCCTCTTGATTCGAATACCCGGCGGGCGACTAACCTCCACCGGCTTACACTAACCAAGGTTAAACACGCGAAGCTTCCACTACTGGCCTTTGTTCCAGTACGGAGTAGTGAATCAACTTCTCAACAAAAGCATTCGATTCCCCACTTTCAGTTAAAGGTTGCTCTTTTAAGCTATGCAGAGACTATCGTTCTAGGTAGGGGTGGGCAACGGGACGGGACGGGATTCGAATGTTGATAACGGGTACCCATAATACCCATAAATACCCAAAGTTTCATTTCCTTGACTGGCTTCATTCCCTTGATTAGCCATGGAAACTATAAACCAAATCAACATAAACCAAATAGACAGATGCTGGAAATTAGAAACATAATTAGTAATTAGCAGAACAAACCTAACTAGTAATTAGGGTCCAGAATATGTACTGTAAGTAGAAAAGAAAAGAGAATGGCAGCTGTATACCTAAATATATAACAACGCCGGGTGAATGGTGATGCTGCTGATATTCCCCCTGCTCCTGGATGGGAAAGTTGGTTGCTGCCGGTCTGCTATTAGAGGCGGCGCAGCAGAGTGAGAAGAAGGAAGCCGCCGCGGCCCGTGCCGGTGAATGAAGGAGGAAACGCGCGAAGCGGCGGAGACGCGGAGGCGGAGCTAGCGAGCTAGGTCTCGCTGTCGGCCTGTCGCTGAGGCTGGCGCTGCGGCTACAGCTGCGCTGGGTGGAGGACATTGTCTCATACTCTCGCTGTCTGACTGTCTCGCAGTTAAGTGAAAGCCGAAAGGGAATAGGCAGCCAGGCAGGGTAAGGGTTGACTAAGGGTAAGGGCCGAAATGGCCAAGGCCCAATGCCACATTTCTGAATTAGTGAATTGGGTTGGGGTGTTGGGCTGTGGGCTATTTCTGGTAAATGGGTATAACGGGTACCCACATTACCCAAACGGGTATTTGCGGGTAACCCGCGGGTACCCATATTAGGAATGTAAAATCCCAAGTCCCATCCGTTTATAATAATACGGGTAATATGGGTACCCGTAACCCTTAAAAAACGGGACGGGTATGGGTATACCCAAATACCCGTTTCTCGTTGCCCACCCCTAGTTCTAGGTTAAAGGCGGAATTACACATGTTTGATCAAGACTCATGCAATTCTGAATAAATCCTCAACTGAATTTATCAAATCAATCATTCATAACATAGGGTTCATACAATCATTCCTAACATACACAGCTATGGTTCTTCATACCCAGATAAAAGGGAAAATTACTCCATGGAGAGATGAGAGAACGTCATGCTAGGAGTAGACATAATCTAAATGACAATGAGCAACTGCTCCTGGCGGCTAATCGGTACTCCAAGATCTTCAGATCGCTCCAATCCTTGCCCAAGGGTTTCTCTTCGTCACTCTCTCTAGGATTCTTTTTCTACCTTTAGAAGCCTAAAAATCAGGATCCTTTGCAAATTTCCCGAGCAGCCTTTAAATAGGATGAGAGTCTGCGAGTTACGGTGTAAGGTACGACCGTAACTTGCCTTGACCGGCCGTAACTTGCAGTAGAACGACGCCGTTATTGCAATCCGTAAGCCAAGAGTTACGGTTTCCTTTGAGAAGTTACGGTCTCGACCGTAACTTGCAGAGGGAGACCGTAACTTCTAAAATGCTTATGGAACTAATGCTTATTGATGCTCTAAAACACAACACCAATCTGTGACCAAGTATAATCGCAGTCCGGGAATGCAGTAAAGTGACAAGTTATATTATCAACCCGGGGTCTAGATCTACTGCTTACTCAGTGATTATCTATTATCTAGCCAACTAAGTTAAGTGTTTGTTGTGTAAAAGCAAAAGCAGAAAGAAAGCAGGAATTGATACGGTTTTCTCAAGCAGGTAAGAGTCACTCGGGAATGAGTCCCCCTAGCTCCTTAGTTAGGTTTCAATTGTATTTCCCTGGGTTGATTTACTGTTGATTATACTGCGGAAGATCCGACAGTAGCTTGGAATCTCTTAAGCTCACCAAGCCCTCTCAGTCTAACTACCCGGCAGACGACTAGTCTTCACCGGGATAGAAAGCTGAAGCAGTAAGAACAGAACTCCACTACTGGAATTAGATTCTAGTACAAAGCAGTAAACTGGCTAACTCTCGTATAGCCAATCTCCTACTACCGAATGATGAGACTCTAGCAACCTAATCAGATTCTATCTATCTCAGATTGCAGCAGGAATCAGGAAAAGTTGATCAAACTTCAATTGACTCAATAAATATGCATCATTCGATTAAAATCAAACAGTAATATCATCCCAAGTCATTACAATCAATCCCTAACACATAGAACTAGGGTTCTTCATCCCCAAGTGAGAGAGGGGTTCTACTCCATAGAGAGAGAGAGAGGAAAACAAGATACAAAGCAGTCATACTCATAATTATGGGAAGAATCTGCTCTGGGATGATGATTTCCACTCCTATGACGATCTCCAAGCTTGATTTGATGAAACCCAGCTCCAAGATAGCTTCTAGGATGTGTTCTTCGTCCTTTCTCTCTCTAGGGCTCTGTTTTTGCTCAAAAAATCCGAATGCCTCTTCCTTGGCTCGAATATGCCTTCAAAAACCCGACTCTGGGCGAAATACGGGCAGAATTACGGCCGTAATCACGGCCTGCCCGTAAATCGCCCAAAACGCGCGTTTCACTTTACTCTGATGGAAGAGGAGTTACGCCCGTAATTTCACAATTACCGCCAGTATTTCACTAATTATGGTCGTAATTTGGTGGATGCTTGCCCGTAATTTTAGTGCCGAGAAATTCTTGGGAAAAGAGGCTCGGCGTTTTACGGGCATGCCCTGACCAATTACGGTCGTAATTTGGCAGGGGTTGCCCGTAATTTGTCCTGTGAATCACCACCTGACCTCCAAATGACCCGAAACTTGCGCCTATGCACCTCTTTACTTGCTAGGACCTGAAATACGACAAAACAACACAACCTAGCGTAAAATAGGCCAAGGAACAATCAATTCAAGCTAAAATGGACAGGAAACCAGAGTGAAAACACGTGCAAATACGATGCTACCAAATTCCCCCACACTTAACCGTTTGCTTGTCCCCAAGCAAACCAAGTCAGACACAAGGTAAGCTCACATATTTCAATCAACCAACATTGGGGACAAGTCATAAAGGCCCAGAACATGTGAATCGTACTGGTTTTCAAACATCAACACATGAGCATCTTCAATAGCAACCTGGACAACCACCACAAAGGACATTCGAGTGCAGCAAAATCGAGTAAAGGAAGAGTCGACCTTCTGTTCACCAACCAGCCTAGACTTGACTCAACCACTTGCTAAAAACAGTCACCTCATGCATCCAACTCAAGAAATCAAAATAGAGACTGAGCAATCTAGGTCCTCACCGGGGTACAAGAGTATATAGAATATGAAAAATGAATCACTCACTCTCGACCAGTGGGGTCAGGACAATTTGATTCGAAAAATGCGCATGCTATTTCTCTCAATCCCTAACATCTCTTCACCATGATGGCAGCCTCTAAATGCTAGAGTTCACATATGGAGTGTCACCACTAACTAATCAAGAGGTCTTAGACACAGGTTCAAATGACTGGCTAGGGTCTTGGACATGGGGAAAAGGCCTTTTAGGTGGTGGAAGTAATCATAGCACAAGGTTCCACATTTCCAAACCCAAACAATCACAGTCAAACAAACCAGTAATTCCTTTCTGCTATTCTGCATTACTCAATATCTCAAGAGCACAAGAGCGAAGGAGGTATAAATGTCAGCATTTCCAAGCCAAACTGCTAAGAAACACTACTTAATGGGCACTATTCAGATTTTTGGTAGTGGCTCTCTTTTGCTTCCAATTTTTCTTTGTTTTTCTTTCATTTTCTTTTCATTTCTTAAGAGAGCCACCACTTCTGCACATATTTCAAATACCTGCCCAACTTTTAAGCACTACCTCCAACACTCACATCAGATTTAGCAGAAACAGCAGAGAATATGTAAAAACCACTCTGTGGAACCTTCTACAAGATGCAAAAAGGGTGATTTTTCATTATAGACCAAAAGAAAGGATAACACACGGCTCAAAGGGGCTGACTAGGGGGTATGACACATCAGGACAGTCAACTTTGGTCGTGGGCTAATCCTATGCCCCCATCATCTTAGCTAGTGACAACGTGAATGCTACACATCATGGAAGAGGGATCTATCGCACAAGAAAGAAACGAGCAGGCTCAAATCTCACATGGCTACCTATATGCTCTATCTCACATTCTGATACCCTGAACTAGATGCATAAACGACTGTCAAGAACAAGTGATCAAATCAAGCCACAGTTGGTAAGCAACCAGTTGAAAAACTGAACCCCTACACAATTCTACTGCACGTCTCAGTCCTCATCATAGGTTGTCCTAGTCACAATCAAGCTGTCATGCATCAATCCGAAAACCATTCAATTCATCAATCAAAACACAGTGCCAATATGATCAAATAGCAGTACTTGGAGCCCTCAAATCGTAAGATTCGGACAGCGGACTAGGCTCCAAGCACCCATATATACGTTCCAATAAATACAAAGAACCCCCCCCCCCCCCCATACTTAGATGCGACAGTGTCCTCAATTTAGCAGAGGGAAGGGGAACGATGTTACTGGATTGAAACACTGTTGGGGGACTGGAAGTGGACCAGTCAGCGAGAAACAAACGGGAAGATGGACAGTTCGACTCTGGAACAACATCTCAAGACTCAAAAACACAAAAAAAACAAAAGGAAAAATGTAAGAAAATGCAAACCTCGGTGGGGTTGCCTCCCCACAAGCGCTTCTTTACCGTCTTTTAGCTGGACGCCAGTCGGTGGATGCTCAGTGAGGTGAATGAGCAGGTGCCTTCAAGAGCGGATCCACCTCGCTCTTGAGGTACAGCTTCAAATGGTGGCCATGCACACGCCGAATGTGGCCACCAGCATTTGCCAACACAACTTGGCCATCCGGGAGGATGCAAGCGAGTGAATACTCGAATGGCCAAGGTGGGGGCGGGACCAGCTCATAGTGGTCTCCGGCTTTCTTTCGAGCAGACTTAGCTGCCTGCTGTTTCGGCCGCCACTCCTCCCTGATTTATTCCTTCGATGACGGAGTGGACGGGAGTGGCAGCAAAGGTATGGGAGGCGGATCCTGCAAAATAGGCAACACAGAAGGATACACGACAGACTCGTGCTCCTGGTGAGATATAGCATGCAAAAGCGAAGAAGCAGGGAGAGTATTAGTGATGGAAAATGTTATTCGCTCCTCACCATCCCTCAAAACTTAGGTCCCATCATGCACATCTATGAGGGCCTTGGCGGTGGCCATGAAAGGCCTTCCCGGTATCAATGACACATCCACATCCTCATTTATGTCCAAAATCACAAAATCAACAGGATACTTGAATTTGCCAACCTTAACCAGAAGGTCTTCCACTATGCCCCTAGGATGCACTACAGATCGGTCAGCTAATTGAAGGTTCATCCTAGTAGCACGGGGTTCACCTAGGCCTAGTTTCTTAAACAGTTTATATGGCATAACATTTATACTAGCACCTAAATCCTCCAAGGACCTCTCTACATGCAGATTATCTATAGAGCACGGGATAGTAAAACTACCTGGGTCCTTATGCTTCTGCGGAAGCTTGTTCTGCAGAATGGCCGAGCACGCCTCGCTGAGCTCCACAGTGGCCAGCTCGCTCAGCTTCTGCTT